AGGGGACGAGCCCTCCCAGCCCGTGAAGAAGCTCGCGATGGTTCCAGCTCAGCCCTCCCCGCTTGCGCTAGCCTAGGGAGGCCAGTCCATCTGGGCGTGGGTTCCGCCGAGGAGCATGCCCAGGAGTCGACCCCTCCAAGCTTGTGGCATTTCCGCCATGTTGCCCCCCTGAAGCCGGGCCAAGCCCCCACGATGCACGACCCCCGCCACTTCTGCCCGTCCTGGGAGCTCTCCATCAACGACCGAGCCCAGTTTCCCAAGGTGGCTCGCGAGCTGATGGTGGGCTCGGTCCTCCCTCGCGACAAGAAGTGGATGGAGCTGGCCGACCCTTCCGAGCTCCTGGACGCGTATTACACCGCCCAGGCTCAAGTAAGTCTGGCCCTTGGGATAGTTCTGCCTCCGCGTCTCGGTTAAGTATTATGACGTGCTGACCTATTTCCTTTTCCCCTTCAGGCCAACGCCGCTGGCACCGCCCTGGCGACCCGCTTCTCCGAACTATCCCCCGACCTGGAGAAGCTGCGGAAGAAGAGTCTGGAGGCGGAGAAGAAGCTCTCCCAGGCCCTCAAGGAGGCCAGCTCCCTCAAGGCCAGTCTGAGCAAGGCCGAGAAGGAGTTGGACACAGCTCAGATCCAACTCGCCTCCACCAGGTCAGAGCTCGACCAGGAGAGGGCCGGCGTGGCCAAGCTGAAGGAGGAGCACGCCATCGAGCTCTCCGGCACCGTCAGCCGGGAGCGGAAGAAGGCTGTTCGGGAGTTCCTTACCTCGATCAGTTTGAGGAGGACATCGCTCACCTCAACCAGCCCATCCTCCAGGTCGGCTGCACTCGAGCCCTGGACCAGGTGAAGAAGCTCAATCCTCCTGGCCTCGACTTGGCGAGCTTCAAAGACTACAACCCCGCGCGAGGCGAGGCTGGACAGGCTCTTTGACGGGTACCGCAAGGGGAAATCCCTGAAGGAGCTGGCGGGCCGGACTGACATTGGGGCCGTGCTGGAGGAGGTTCCCTTGGAGGAGGGCGGGCCTCCTGGCCGAGCTGCCTGGGAAGAAGCCAGTGGTCTAGGGCGGCGGCCACTCCAGAAACCCTTTCCGTCTTCTTATAAGGATGTGACCATGCTCCAGTTGAAAATGCTCTTGGAGGTCCATCCGAGACGGAAGGGCTCCCCTTCCGGGCTCCTGCATAGCCTTCACCATACGCCTCTCAACATGCTTAAGGTGTACTTTCAGCTCCCCCTTCCGGGCTCCTGAATAGCCTTCACCATACGCCTCTCAACATGCTTAAGGTGTACTTTCAGCTCCCACCCCGGTCGGGCACCAGCAGGTAGAACAGACATCGAGGGAGAATGCCAACTCGGAAATTTTGCGGTAGATAGGCAGGGCGTTTTGTAATAGATAGGCTTTGATGCATATATAAAACTTGAGGAGACTTATTTTGCATTTCTTGCCTGCTCCCAATTCTGTCGTGCCGACCTCTAGGGCTCGAGCATCAGCCTCCATCCGAGTTCTCAATCGTGCCGACCTCTTGGGGTCGAGCATCAGCTTCCATCCAAGTTCTCCCTGTCGTGCCGACCTCTAGGGTCGACCACTGACTCGAAAGCCTTGGAGGATTCAACCCATGCCGATCTCCTGGGCCGAACACTATACCCCGTACCTTGATCGCGCCGACCTCCTGGGTCGAGCACTGACTTAGAAGTCTTGGAGGATTTGACCCATGCCGACCTCTTGGGGTCGAGCACGTCAGGCGTCGAGCTCCTCTCCGCCGACCTCCTGGCCGAGCGCGGAGTTTTCAGAACCAGAACCCTTCCAAGTTTCCACGTTTTTCCTCGATCGTGCCGACCTCTTGGGCCGAACACTATACCTTGATCGTCCTCCCAGCCCCCACTAGAACAGTTAGGGAGGAAACACTAAGTGTGCTAGTGAATTTTGAACTTTATTAGCTTGGAAAGGAGACAGGACTAGTGAAATGTAAACGCTAAAGGCAAACTTTTATTGAATGAAAAAACCGAAAAAAATTCTGATTCCAAAGTACAGACAACTGGACATTCTGGTCTACCCTACGCTAGAAACAGGCGCAGGTTGGAGAAGTGCCAAGTACGGGGTACCTCAGATCCGTTCATATCGGCGAGCTTGCAGTAGCCGGCCCGACCCACCTCAAGGACCTTGTAGGCCCTCCCAATTTGGGTCGAGCTTGTTGGAACTGTGAGCTCGGCTGACCGAGTTCTTCCTTAGGACGAGGTCTCCGGGCTGGTACTGTATAGTCCTCACTTTGGCGTTGTGATAGCGGGCGAGTTGGCTTTTATACTTAGCCATTCGAACAGCCGCTTCCTCACGCCTGACTTCGAGCATGTCCAAGTTGCACCTAAGCTCTTCCTCGTTGGATGTTACACGAAATTCTGTGTTCTGGGTGAGGGAGACCGACCTCCGCGGGCACCACGCCTCTACTCCGTAAGTTAGGGAGAACGGTGTCTCGTGGGTAGCCGTCCTGGGCGTAGTTCGGTAAGCCCAAAGGACACTGGGAAGCTCATCCAGCCAGCTCGATTGGGGCGGACTCAACCTTAGTCTTCAACCCTTGCAGAACAGTTCGGTTAGCGTTCTCCACCTGACCATTGGCCTGGGGTGACAACCGACTGAAGTGTTTGATTGATCCCGAACTCGGCGCACCAGCTCCGGAAAGGGTTCTCGGCGAACTGGCGGCCGTTGTTGGATATCAGGACGTGCGAATCCCGAAGCGGCAAACTATGTTCCTCCAGAAGAATTTCTGAATTGCCTTTTCAGAGATAGAGACCAAGGGCTCCGCCTCCACCCACTTTGTGAAGTAGTCTATTGCCACCATGAGGTGTTCATATCTTCCCGGGGCTCGGGGGAAGGGACCCAGGAGGTCTATCCCCATTGAGCGAAGGGCAAGGACTGTGGATGGGAACCATCTTTCGAGTTGGCTGATGGCGCAGCGAAGCGTGCACCTGGCAAGCTCCGGCATTTCTGGACCAAATCTGCTGCGTCTTGAACGGAGGGCGGGCAATAGTAGCCCAAAAGGAGGCACTTTTTGGCCAACACCCGGGACCCGACGTGTGCCGCACATATACCTTCATGATTTCGCGCAGAACGTAGTCACCTTCCTCGGGCGTCACGCACTTTAGCCAGGGAGACAAGTACGACCTCCTGTAGAGGGTTTCCCCGGCGTAGGCGTACTTGGCAGCTCGGAACTGGATTCGGCGAGCCTCAGTTTTGTTCTCAGGAGGGCACCCGAGCTGAGGAAGTCGACGAGGGGAGCCATCCAGGTGGCCAAGCTGTCTATCGTCAGGACCTGGACCTGGTCGATACTTTTCTGCTTCACCACCTCTACCAAGACCTCCTTGCTCAGGTGGGCGAACGAGGAGGACACCAGCTTGGACAAGGCGTCCGCGCGCTTGTTTTGGGACCTTGGCACCCGCTCAATCTCAAAGGTCTCGAATAGGGCTACCGCCTCTCGTACCTTAGCCAGGTATTTCTTCATTACCTCGTCCTTGGCCTCATACTCCCACGGATCTGGAGGACGACGAGCTGAGAGTCGCTTCGAACCCGGATCGCGGTGATCCCCATCTGGTAGGCTATCCGCAACCCCGTCAGCAGGGCCTCGTACTCTGCCTCGTTGTTGGACGCAGGGAGGTCGAACCTAAGCGCATAGGTCAGTTCTTCCCCGTGGGCGAGGTGAGCAGCAGGCCAGCTCCGCTCCCTTCCTTGCTCGAGGCGCCATCCACGAACAGCACCCACGGCTCCTCAGCCGGGGTGTCCGGGGGTGTCGGGGCTAACTCGGTCAGGTTCAAGTCAGCCCCCTCAGCAAGGAAGTCTGCCAAGGCCTGAGCCTTGATCGCGGTGCGAGGCCGATAAGTGAGGTCATGCTCGGCCAGTTCGACGGCCCACTTGGTCATCCTGCCCGAGGCCTCGGGCTTAGTGAGTATCTGGCGCAAGGGCTGGTCGGTCAGGACTACGATGCTGTGAGCTTGGAAGTAAGGGCGGAGCTTGCGAGCGGCGTGTACCAAGGCAAGGACCAGCTTTTCCGCAGGCGTGTACCTCGTCTCTGGCCCCTGTAGGGCGCCTAATGTAGTACACCGGTCTCTGAGCCCCCCGTCCTCCCGCACCAAGACCGCGCTGATGGCCTCGTTGCAGGCGGACAGGTAAAGGAACAGAGTCTCTCCTAGCTCCGGGGCGGTCAAAGTGGGCAGCTCAGCCAGATAGGCTTTCAGGTCGGTGAAGGCTTTCTGGCACTCCTCCGTCCAGTGAAAGTCCTTAGGCGCTTTCAGCACTCGGAAGAAGGGCAGCTCCCTGACCGCGGAGAGCGAGAGAAACCTACTCAGGGCGGCCATTCTCCCTGTGAGCCGCTGGACTTCTTTCACGTTCCTTGGAGGAGCCATGTCTATGATAGCCTGTAGCTTATCCGGATTGGCCCGGATTCCGTCTCGGGACACCAGGAAACCGAGAAACCTTCCCGATCTGACCCCAAAGGTGCACTTCTTCGGATTTAAGCGCATCCGGCTCTCCAGTAGGATGTCCAAGATCTCCCGCAGGTCGGGTATGAGCCGCTGGTCAGTTCGACTTTTGACGATCATGTCATCGACATAGACCTCCATGCTTCTGCCGATCTGGTTTTGGAACAACTTGTTGACCAGGCGCTGGTAAGTGGCTTCCGCGTTCTTCAACCCGAACAGCATGGTCCTGTAGCAGTAGGTTCCCTCCTCAGTGATGAAGGAGGTCTTGTCCGATCCTCCTCAGCCATCTCTATCTGGTGATATCCCTTAAAGGCATCCAGGAAGCATAAAACGTCAAAACCCACAGTAGAGTCTACTAACCTGTCGATTCTAGGCAGGGGAAAGCAGTCCTTCGGGCAGGCTTTGTTAAGGTCCGTGAAGTCTACGCACATCCTCCAGGTCTGGTCGTCCTTCCTGACCAGAACGGGATGGCCAGCCAGGTCGGGTAGTAGACCTCCAGGATGATCTTGGACTCCAGCAACTTGCCAACCTCCGCCTTGATCACCTCATTTCTCTCGGGGCAAAGCTCCTTTTCTTCTGCTTCACTGGCTTGAAGTTGGGGTCCACGTCGAGGTGATGGACTGCCAGGTCTGTAGGGATCCCAGGCATGTCCTCTACCGTCCATGCGAAGACCTGGGAGTACTCTCTCAACAAGGCCTTCAAGCCTTCCTTCTCCTCGGCTGGTAGCAATGCCCCGATGCGGATGACCTGATCGGGCCGATCCTCCCTTAGGGGGAACTCCTCAATCTCATCCTGGGTGCCCAGCTGTTGGGCCTCATCTCCTGGGATGTAGGGCTCCAAACAGGTTGTCTGGGCGACCACCTTCTCCTACCCCCGGAGCGTGGCCAGGTAGCAAGCCCTGGCTACCTCTGGGTCGCCGCGCACCTCGGCTATCCTCTAGGGGTGGGGAACTTGACGCTGAGGTGGAAGGTAGAGGGAATAGCCCGGAGGGCGTTCAAAACAGGTCTCCCCAAGAACACATTGTACGGGGATGACTGCTTGACCACCACGAAGTTAACGGGAACGGTCCGGCATTTGGGAGCCTGTCCTACTGTGACCATCAGGGTGATCATCCCTTCCGAGCTGATGGGTGGTCTGGTGAAGCCCACCAAAGGCGTCCGGACCGGGGTCAACTGGTCATCTCTTAATCCGAGCTCCTTGAACACCCGATAGAACATAATGTCCACCGCGCTACCCTGGTCGACATACACCTTCTTCACCCGGTAGTTGTTGGTAACAATGTCTATCACAATGGCCTCGTGGTTCCCGGAAGCCAGGGGGACTGCATCCCTTGGTCCGAAGGTAATCTCCTCGTCCATGCGCAAGCGCTTGAAGGAGTCGTCCCCTTCGGGGGTGGTCGCTTGTTCTTCCGAGCTGCATGACTGTCCCCCCCTTGGGGCCTCCGGCGATGGTGTTTATCACTCCCGCCAGGTTCTGGGTGTCCTGGTCGGGAGAGTGGCCCCGAGGAGCGTCACGCCGCTTAGGGCGGTCGCGTCGCCGTCCCTCATGCCTATCTCCGTAGTGGTTGCGGCCGAACTCCTGACCTGGTCGGCGCACGAACCTCCCTAGAAGGCCGCGCTGGATCAGGTCTTCTATCTCCTTACGCAGGGCCCAGCATCCCTCCGTGTCGTGCCCGACGTCGCGGTGAAAGGCGCAGTACCTGTCCTGGTTCCTTTTGTTCCGGGACGTCCCCATCTTGGGCGGCCGATCTCCCAGTCCTTCCGCCTCCATAACAGCCAAGATCTGGGCTTTGGGCCGTGTTAGAGGGTGTAGGTCTTCTCTGGGAGTGGCGGCAGAGCAGGGGCCTTCTCTTTCGACAGCCGGTCGAAGACGTTTTTCTTAAACGGTACGTCCTTACCCTCTGGGGGGTTTGTCCGACCTTTCCGATTTCCGAGCTCCCGATCTGATTCTTTCTTCAGACGACCTGCCTCCTCCGCATTAGCGGCCTCATGCGCCCTGCGTAAGAGCTCCTCCAGGTTTACGGGAGGCTTCTTGGCCAGGTCGTAGAAGAGCTCCTCTACCCTGAGCCCATTTGTGAAGGCGGCCATGACCACTTTTTCGTCTTTGTCCCTGACCTGCAGGCTCTCCGCGTTGAAACGGGTCATGAAATTCCTCAGCGACTCATCGGGCCTCTGTCTGATGGACATCAGGTGAGTTGCGTTCCTCGCGTAGACCTTCGAGGAGACGAACTGGGCTGCAAACTGCCGGGCCAGCTCAGGAAAGCTCCGTATAGACCCCGGTTTCAGCTCCTGGAACCAGAGCCGCGCCTTCCCCTTTAGGAACATAGGGAAGGTCTTGCAGCGGACCTCATCCGCGGCGGTTTGCAGGCGCATATGCGTCAAGAAGACCGAAAGGTGGTCCTCCGGGTCTGTAGAGGCATCGTACATCTCGATGCTCGAAATCTTAAACCTCCGGGGTAGGGGGTAGTCCTCTATCTCCCGGGTAAAAGGCGAGGTTGCGTAGTTGTCCTCGTACTGCCGGGCCTCAAGATCTGCTCGAGCTCATCCCGAGCAGGTTCCAAATGAAGGAGGTCACGGGGTCGGCTCTTGACGGACCGAGCAGGGGAACGCTCGAGCCCATTCCGTGCGAGCTTCCGTGAGGAGGGGTCTCTCGGACGGCTCCTCGCGGACCGGTCGGGGAATACCTCTCGCTGTCTCCGACCACCGAGGCTCGCGGGCGAGGTGGAGTTCGTGGTCGTTTCCTTCTGGGGGACTGGTCTCGGGACTCATCCTCCGAAGGGTCAGGGGGTAACTCTTTCTCCTTCCCCTTGGCCTTGGAAGTCTGCGCACCCCCAGCCCCATCTCCCTCCTTCGCCTGTCGAATTATATCCTCCAGCATGGGGAGATTCTCCGTCACGAACTGGAAGATCTGCTGCCTTCGTTCCCCTGAGAGGGTTGATCCCCCGGCTCCCTGAGACGCCTCAGCCTCCTTCCGCGGGGACCCCTCACCGCTCCCAGGGCCGGTGCTCTCTATCGTGCGCTTGGATCGCGTCCTGGCCATCAACACAATCTTACTTACCTTACGTTTCCCACAGACGGCGCCAACTGAAGAAGCACGGAACTTCCCCGGGGAGAGCTGACCTGATCAGCTCGGGGTGCTGATGGGAGAGCTGACTCCAAGCCTGCAAAACAGAAAGGGTGAGCTGACAGAGGGGGCCCGAGGGTTGTCCCCGAGGGCGCTCCGACGGTCAAGTGAGTTCTCCGGTGAGGAGGGTTCACGGGAAGCGGTAACAACCGGGAGTAATTTGCCTATAGTGAGCGTACCTTGTATAGTTGACGTGTGCTACCATTTATACCTGCGAGGGAGTCCGACCTCCGTATGTCTCGGGACCCGCCCGGATTAGTCGGTATCCCGTACTCAGGGGGATTGTCCCCGACCTCTTCGGGATGAACTCTTGCCCCCTCGGGGCCCTAGTGGTGCGGCCCCGGCTGGCTGCCAGGGGCCAGGGGCCGAAGCCCAGCTCGGCCTTGTCTGGGCTGCCACGTGTCCAGGCCCAGGACGGGGCCACTGCACTATTCAAAAATGGATATTAAAATTCGACTTCCAAGCTCCAAATCCCCAAATGAATTATGGAGTTGCATATTTTTATTGGATATTCTATATATTCCATTCCTACTAACAAATCATATTACTTATTTATGTATTAATCAGTACTAGAACAAGTTAAGATTTATGCCTATATACAAATATATAATCACACATGTATGTGAGGTGCAGCACGAGATTGAGCAATCTAAAGAAATGGTACTATTACAATGACCTGTGGCATTCGAACCATTCATTAACATTCACCTCTACACAACTCCTCTATATGAATTGACTGAAACAAATGTATTTTAGCGGTAAGGATAGATGAATTAGGTGTAAGTAGAGGGCATCTGGGCGTAAAACACAGGCTTTCAGGCCTATGGAGTGCAATTTTGTACAGATCCAGGAACACGAAGTAGGTGTCAAGGATCTTGGTGTAAGACACACATAAAATAGCGGAAGTGGGCATCTCTCACTTAGTGTATAGTAATAAAATTCAAAATTACACCAGTCCTCTATGGACTAATTGCCATAAATATATTTTGATATAAGAATTGATGAGTCGGGTATAAGTCGAGGGCAACTAGACATAAGAAGCGAACTCTCAAGCCTGTGAAGTGTAACTGCATATAGATTTAAGAAAATATAGTCAGTGTTAAGGGCCCTAGTGTATGTCCTGACAACGATAGAAGTAGATCACAAATATTTCGAGCTGAGTTAATCCACTGCTAAATCCTAATATCGGAATAATTGTGCATGTGTGAATTTAAGAACATCCAATGTAATCGATTGGATTGTACAACTTGGTATGGGTAAACATTCTTTGAAATATGTATTAATATATTCTACACAATTCATTCCTACTAACATATCATATTACTTATTAATGTGTTAATCAGTGTTGGAACAAGTTAATGTTTATGCTTATATATGAACATATGATCATACATTTGTGGTGAGTGGGACACAAGATTGAGTTAACTAATGAAATGGTACTGTCACAATCACTTGATCAGTATTTCTAACCATCCATTGACGTTCACCTCTACGTCACTCCTCTATATGGATTGACTGCCATAAATATTTTTTGGTACAAAGGCATATCAATTGGGTGTAAGTAGAGGGCAATCGGGCATAAAACATAGGCTCTTAGGCATATAGAGTGCAATTGTATGCAGATCCAAGATCACGAAATAGGAAGGAAGTGGGGCATTTCTCACTTGGTGTATAGGAACAAAATTCAAACTTATACTATTCCTCTGGATGAAACGACTATTGTAAATATATTCTGGTGTAAGAGTAGATGAATCACGTATAAGTCAAAGGCAACTAGCATACGACGCAAGCTCTTAGGTCTATGGAACGTAACTAGACACAAATTCGGGAATATAGAATTGGTTGTTAAGGACCCTAGTGTAAGTCTCGAGGACAGCAAGAATTGATCCTTGATTTTTCAAGTTGTGCATTGATCCATTGCTAAATCCTGATATCAAAGTAACTATGCACATGGTCAGTAAAAATCTAAGGACATCTGGTGAAATCGACTGGATCATAAAATTTGGTATTGGTGAACATTCTTTGAAATATTGCTATTTTAGGGGATGTCGTGCTTGGGACGTGTTAATATTTTGAAAAAAAAATGGATAACCGGCCAATCCAATCCTAAAATTTTGGTTAGACTATTCGGGAATAGATATTGAAGTTTGACTCTTGAGTTCCCGCTCGCCAGCTGAATTATTGGGTTGTATATATTAATTAGATATTTGACATATTCCATTTCCACTGACATATCATATTACTCATTAACGTATTAACTAGTATTAGACCAAGTTAAGGTTTATGCTTATAAATGAACACGTGCTTTATTCATGGAATCACAAATAGCATCCAGTATGAGTATGCGGTCCTTGAGTGATGAGGGCTAAGTAACCAGGCTCCTTCATTTGGTAGATGTCGAAGTTCATGTCAAAAGGTTTGAATGACTACGGACTAAACTTTTTCCCTTAAAGAAAAGAGAGCTCAAGTGTGCGGATATTTTAGAAAAGAAAAAAAAATGAGCTAATAGTGAAAAATGTGCAAGTGTGTGAATGATTGTGTTAGCCTGTTGATCCATGGGATTTTATGTTGAGATTTTACTTAATAGTTGAACCATTTGCTGATGAATGCTCGTTCAATATTTTATAGCCTTAGATTAGTTAGCCAGGAATTGGAAAGGTTTTTGGTTTTGGAAACTAACTGAAGAGATATTCCTTAGAAACTAGCCACTAATACTTGACAAGTGTTTTAATTGTGTCTTGGCAATAGAAAACTTGAGTAATAGCCATTGTTTGAATTTGATTGCTTCATTTGTTATTTCTCATGCTTGAGAACAAGCATGATTTAGGTGTAAGGGGGATTAATAGGTTGCAATTTGTTGCTAAATTTATAATTATTTTCCCCTTGATTTTAGCCAAATATTATTTTAATTGGTGAATTCTAGTTATATTTAGTTAATGGTGCCAATTGTTGAAAAATGAGCAAAAAGTAACAAAATGGGCGATTTTTCAGCATGTCAAGAATTCATTTAGTGATGGCACGTTCGGAATCTGTTTTCACATCCAGAAGATTTGAAAATTTACTGTGCACAGAGGTTTCCCAATTTGAGTCAACTATGGACAGTTTTTGGGTGAAGATTTGGGAAGACTTTGATTCTATTTATTAGTAGTAGTATTGGATTAGGAAACATGAGATATTATCTCTTGTAGTTTCTTTCTTTTATTTAGGAAATATGTTTTATTAGTAGTAGTAAACG